CTTCTATGGCTCTGGTTGGTCTCATTGTCACCCAGCCAGTCACTTGGGGTCGTATGCTTCTCTTCTCCGGGTCCTGACACTATCAGATCTCACCATGTCAGTTAGTTGGAGAGGATGGAGCCCTAAATAAAACTTGACTTATGCTGGAGAAAGGGAAATGGATGCTATTTGCTATAACATTTACACATCTGTTTTTAAAAATACCAGTTTGCTGTCAAACTATATTTACACTTATTTTAGACATGGTTACATCTTGAAAATTCTGAATTCTTTCATTCTTCATAATAAACTTGGTTGTAACGATTGATATTACCTCAGTCTATTTCCTCAGAAATGGGAGAAAAACCATTTCAGAGCAGCTGTGTAGAATGTCTTGACATTAATGATTTTTTGCTGTGGCACCACATTGCCTTCCTATCTGTCTGTGATACTGTTTTATCTCTCTTTGACCACTGTCCTTCTTCTTGGCATTTGCACCATGTGATTTGAGCTTACAAATGAAAAGATTTTCAATGAAGACTATACTGAATATAATTTTAAAAATTGTAAAGTCTATAAAAATATAAAGTATGACTAATAAAGTAATGACTTCCATAAACCACATATGAAATTCACTTTCAGTTTTAGTAATGAGTTACTTATATTTTATTCTTCAGAAAATGAAATTAGATTGAAACAAGAGATCCCATTCATTCTAACTTGACCAACTAAACTTTCTGTTTTCCCTTCTCTTTGGTTTGATTAAAATTTATGTGTGATAAATTGTGGGTTATCATTTACATTAATCAGTATCCTTATAAAACAAAGCCCCGAAAACATCTGGAAAGCATTACCTGAGTGCAACAGGATTAAACCATGTTGAAGAGTAGGAGAAGGCATTAGTCCTGTACTTCAAGGCACATTATTCCATTTCAGCTCTACCATCCACACAGTCATGATTTTTTATTTCTTTCTTGAAATAAAAAAGTTGTTTCCCCTAATGAGACAGTCTACTTGGCTTATAAGCATTTCTCTGTAATATTTTCCAAACCAAGAAAGCAAATAGAGAAAACATTTTGTAGAGAGAATCTTTCAAATATCTGCTCTGAGTCTGTGCTAAAAGCTGAATGCTTTGAGCTGTAGTGTAAAAGCATTGAGTTTCTTCCTAACGTATGGGAGCACGCAATGTACCTTTATAGTAAGTATGTGTTTTCTTGTTGACACTGCTCTCTTTTAAAGGAATAAACTTCTGAAAGATGGAAGTCATGCTTGGAGAGGTGAAATGTCCCTCAGATTCTTGTTTTGGAGGACAAGGGAGTGTCATGTAATTTTCTCTCTTTTTATTTATATTCATTCTCTCTATCTCTTTCTCTCCTGACCTGCTTTTCTTCCTTCAGCTGGGATTCTGCTTTCCTTCTGGTAATTATATTCCTGTACAATGTCAGGGCCACACCTGCCACTGACGCCCCATTTAGAGGAAGAAAGAAGGTGAACTCACAGGCCCCAGCCACTGATGCTGGGAGTAAATAGCAGCTGGGGTTACAGCCTGCAGGGAAAGATGGGTTTTTGTCTGAGGAAACCACGTTTTGAATTTTTGAGAAACCTCCTACACAATGCTAACTTGGACCGATAAGCAAAATGAGCCAAATAAACTAGGACCTGGTGAAAACTAGACAATGTGATAGTCAGGCAAATGGAAAGTGTGGTTTTTAAGAGGTGTTTTGTTGTGGCAAGTTGAAGTCAGGAATATGAATTTTTTACTTTGATTCTGAGCTAGTGTTCTCTCTGTATATAAATATATAAACACTTCAGCATTTGTATAGAGTGAATACATTCTATTTGCAGTTCTACCTAATGCAGTTTAGCCACAGAAACTTGCATGTCTCATTATTTATGACTTAAAATTTTAGTTTTTGGTGAAAAAGTTTCTATGAGGAGTATCCTCATTTGGAAGGGGAATTAATATCACGCTTTGGCTAAAAAAACTTTTATGCCTGCATAGTAATGTGAAAATCAGCTCATCCTGTTTCGGTAGTGTTTCTTGTAATACCATTCTACGTATAATTTGATGGGTTAGTAAGGAACCAGTTTAACAAAGTACTTATTTAACAAAATACTGTAAAGTAAAATATTTATGATAAGTTTTGTTCATTATTGTTAGCTTGCTTTCACAGTGACTGTATTTTAACAAATTTTAAGGATTTGAGTATTTGATTTTGAAACTCTGTGTTCTCCAAGTTACATTTAACTCCTAAAGTCAAGTGTAAAGACATATATATTGTTTTTGAGGTATATTTGGGATATTTGCCTTAAAGCTAGGAAGTTAAATTTTTGTTTTTTTAGAAATAAACCTTATAGAGCAGAAAAAGTTTGTACACAATTTTTAATACAGCAGCTCTCAAACATTTTGGTTTTTGGGCCGACACTTTTAAAAATTGAGAACCTCAGAACTTTTGTTTATGTGGATTATATCTATTGGCACTTACTCTATTAGAAATTAATTTTAACATTATTTTTAAATAAAAATTTTAGATGCATCTAAAAATAATAATTAACCCATTACATGATAAATAACATAAATAACCTACATTTTCATGAAAAAACAAAAAAAAATTAGTGAAAACAGGTATTGTTTGACATTTTTGCCAGTCTGTCTGGCTTAATGATAAACAGCTGGATTCTCTTATATGCTCATGCACTCAGTCTTTTGAGATCACACATCATGTAGTCTATGGGACATTTTACAATGATGAGTTAGATGTTACTGAAGAAGTAGTCTCCTTACTAGTATTATAGTGTTGATCTTACGGAACCCCTGAAAAGAGCCCAAGGACCATCAGCAGTGTCCAGGCTATACTTCAAGAACCACTATTCTAACCAGATGCTCTTTATTGTATTTTTAAATAAGGGCCACCCTTCGTAGCTATAAGGACATTTTTTTTTCTTCAGCAGCTCTTATTTTCTGTTTCCTTATATCTAAATACATTCGTTTTTTGCTACAGGATCTCTGAATGCCACCTTTATATTTGAAATTCATCAGGTAGACTGATTTTGGTTATATTATCAAATAAATGTATGTCTAGGTTATCCAACGTAAGTAGGATCATTTTAAGTAAACTCGTGTCTTCTAACAACACTAGTTGCTTATGTGGATTTTTATTGTAGGACCGTAGTGGTCAGTTTTTAAAAGTCCATAGCAGAAAGTAGTAAATTAAGAGATTAGATTCTCAGGATAGCATACACAGTTTTTTAGATGGTCATTTTATCGTTTTATTTATCCCATTCTCTTTGCTACCTGTACACTATAATATTTGAGGCTTCAGATTGGCTGTTTTTTGGAATAGTTTTAAAAAGAGCTAATTTTTTCATTCATGCCTGTTTGATAGATACTACTTTTTTTTTTTTTAACTGTTGATTTTGGACAATGCTTTTGCTTTAATAAAAATTTGCTGCATCAGGTCCCATATCTCTACCTTGCTCTATTTAACCATTCAACCGCTATAATTTCATGTGTTGCTAAAAGGTTCCTGTGGCCTTTTTTTTTTTTTTATAATGTGTGAGTGACTATATAGAGCTCTACTTTGGGGATTAGTGAATACTACATCTGCCTCTCCTCTGTTTTATTCTGGGGAATTCTTTCAAGATTTTGTAATTTCAGGTTCTGTACTATCTGAATCAGGTACCAGTACATCTTGAGCTACTCTATTTCTAGATACTGAAATTTTTCTATGGAATATATTTTACACCATCCAACATAATAGTCTCTAGCCATAGGTAGTTATCGAGCACTTGAAATATGGCTGGTACAACTGAGGAACTGAGCTTTTAGTTTAATTTACTTTTAATTAATGTACAATTAAATAGCCACATGTGGCTCATGTCCCTGTTATGGGACAGTGCAGCTCTAAAGAGTATCTGACATCTAAAAAACTCATGCCTGTCAATTCTTGACCTCAGGGTTTCTTACAGGCTCATCCATTGATTTTTACAAGAATTTTATACATTTTTCTTATCAATTTTAGAAGTGTTGTAGCAGGTAAGTTTCACTCTTTCTAGACTCCTTATTATCAGAAATGGAACTAGAAGGGTATATTGGTGCTGAAAAGGCAGAGGCTATTGATATGAGCTGCTTTTTATGAGCTCTTGAAGATGTTCTAGATGAAATTGGAGAAGAAAACAGGATTAAAGGAAGGATCTTTAGGTTGGGGAGACTCGAATAAACTCATCAGTAGGAAAAAAAGGATCCTATGGAAAGAGTAAATTGAAATAAAAAGGGAAATGAGAGTCGAATAAATTGTTGAAAAAGGAAGGAAAGGACCCAGAGTGCACATAGGAGGATGGAAAGCCACTCTGAATTGGGAGGGAAAGACTGACTTTTTTTTTGTTTGAATTTTTTTGACATGAGGGTCACATAATATAAAATTTATCATTTTAAAATGGACAATTCAGTAGCATTTAGTTTATCCATAATGTTGTACTTCTATTCCTTCTATCTAATCCCAGAACATTTCATCACTCCCAAAGGAGGAGACCCTGTGCCCACCAGCAGTTACTCTTCTTGTTTTCCCCCAAGCATCCGAGCATCCACTAATCTTTCTATCTTTATTCATTTACCTATTCTTCATGTTTCTTATAAATAGAATCATACAATATGTAACCTTTGCATTTGGCTTCTTTCACTTTTAGTATGTTTTCCAGGTTCAGCTGCATTGTAGCATGTAAAAAGTGACATGACATTTTAAGTAGAGGGAATTTTAAGGAATTCATAGTGACAGCCTGAATCTCAGCAAAACAGTCAGTTCAGGAAGTTGAATTTACCTTGGATTAACACTTCACAGAGGTGGATGTGACATCAAAAACTACCACTGGGAGGTTAGAGAGGAGTGAGTGAGTAGGAACTTGCTTTAAGAAGGGGAGGAATGACCTATTTCAAAATGGGGTAAATTTGGGGTCCCAAGTTAGAGTATACATGTGGAAATATGAGCTCACCTAAAGTAGGGGGTTATCTCTTTTGTTCGTAGATCAGAGTCACCCATTACTGCCTGCTGCAGTGAGCAGATGGACAGACCAAGTTTCCAAAGAGGCAAGTCAAGAAGAAGACTGTAATCTTGCCCTGCTCGGTAAATGATTCACCGCTGCTGCTCTGAGGGCTTCTCACTCGGAAGTGGAAAGCAGACCTTGAGTTTCTTTGTGCTTCCTTTGATGAAGGCTGGTAAAGCTGAGTCAGCCATTCTGGTTGGTGCTAAGAGCAGTGATAGAGGCCAGCAGTGTCTACAGCAAGGCCAATGCCTGGCCCAGCTATCTTCTCCCTGTTGCCTATAGAATAAAGGTCAATGGACTTTACTGGCTTTCGAGGTTTTTCCCATTTTGTCCCTAATGCGCTCTCTAACCTCATGACCCAGCATACCACTCATTCAGATTTGTAATGAGTACTCATTGTGCTCCAGGTGCTGAGTGAACAGTACATGGTGAACCAGACAGACACAGCCCTAGTCCTCAAGGACATAGATACTAACCAAATGTTAACGTGTATTTAGGGTGTGATTAGATTCTAAGTAGAAGGGACTAATTTAGCTTGGGGCTTTGGGGGATGAGTCAGGAAGGATTTCTCTGGAGTAAAAGATCTTTCAGCAGAGGTTTACAGCATAAATATGAGGTTAGTGGGAAGTGGGGTGGGTGGGGAAGGGAGCTTTCCTGGCCTGGATCTGCCTGAGAATAGGGTGCAATGGAGTGGAGAAGATGGAAGAAAGTGGGTGTGGTGGGGAGTCTTTGAGCAGGAGGGAAGGGCAGAAGTTGGGCTGGAAGCAGGTGTGAGCCAGTGCATGAAGGGGGCTCTAAGCAAAGTGAGGGATTATAGGTTGTATCCAGAGAGTAAGAGGGACACAGTTGAAGGGCTTCAAGTAGGAGTGGCCCGATCAGTTTTGGTAGTGCAGTGTAGAGATGAATAGGAGGGGATAGGAGTGGATGCTTAAAAGCCAGCTTGGAGTCCACATAAAAGAAAATGGTGCCCTGGTCTGGGCTGGTGGTGGAAAGAAGTGGATATTTATAAGGTGCTTGGAAGATAACATCAATAGGCTAAGAGATGATTGCATTACTTTGGAACCCTGTCCCTTCTACCTACTGTACCCTTCTGTGCCTCTTTTCATACTATGCCTTCAGCTTGAAATACCCATCAACATTCTGCCTCCTAGGTTTTCCACCTTCTAAAATCACTAATAACCTGGCCTCATGCCACTTGTGTGAAGTCTCTCATCCACTGCTCAGAATCAATTCCTTTAATATTTATAGTGTTCACATCTTTTACTTTGCTTTAAATCATTGCTGATTTGATTTTCTAGTGAAGGCAGATTGTTCTACACATGCCGATTGCTTAATGAAGTTGAGGTCGAATTTTAAATATTCCTCAGGCCTGCCCAGTATCTTAGTTTTTCAGAGTATGGCAGCCCCACTCCTATCCCGCCCCTTGGTATTTGGAAACCCTTCTTGCATTCATTGGCCTACCCTCATCTACTAATCTCTTAAGTGTCAGCTCAAGCCCCACTCCTCTGGGGAAGCCTCTCGTGTCTCAACCTCAGATTTCTCCTCCTCACCACAGCCCTCACGCCCTTTGGCTCTCCCTGTACCAGGTGCTCTGTGGTACTTTCTATTGTCCACATAAGAACCATCCAAACCTGTAAAGAATTTTCATAAGAGTTTTATTTGAGCCCAAACAACAGTTGCCAGAAAGCAAGATCTCACATGCTCTGGAGAGTGACAATTTGCAGTTTCTTTTATGCATTTGGATTTGAGGGAACTCAAGTCAGATTACGTGGAGATGGGGGAAAGTAAGGCGGAAATTGGATTATAGAATAATTAATAAGATTATATGCTTTCTTGAGGGTGATTATTTCAAAGGTGCACTAATCTTAATGAGCAAAAACAATGGACAGGGCTTACTTAAGGTAATAATAAATTTTTTACTAATGCAGTTATATGCCTGGGGCATGAGCACTCACCATGACCTGCCCAGTTAGGAATTGATGATTAGGTCACCCTGTGAGGCTACTTTGTGTAGAACCCCTTTCTTTGTCCACACTACGTTTATGTAATTGTAGTTATACTGGACAATTACAGACTCTTAGGTCCATTTCATCCAAAAGAGTGCTTATGAATAGTTGGCATGCATAAGTATGTATATGGCTCATAATATTCATTATTTACCATAATTATTGAAGAGAGGTTGGGGAGTGGTGGTGGTATTTATGCAGTGTCCCCACAGGCCTTTTCTAGTGTTTGCATACTTCTCAAAGTTTTTCCTTAAGTCAGACCTCAAGCTAATTAATACTTCTTTGTGATCTTTGGAGATGGAGAAATTCTTATATTTTGTGATAGCATTCCTCAGCTTTTTTGTTTTGATCTAAGATTAGTTACCCCGACTCATTGCCAGAGGCCCATTTAAAAAATCTTCTAGTCTTTATATCCATGTTTTTAAAAATGTGTATTTTTAATTACATAAACCTATATAGTTAATATCTAGAGATAGAGAGAGATCTAAAACTGATCTTATTATGTGCTGCATATCCATAGTTTAAAGAGACATGGGAAAAACTCGTTACTCATCCTGGCTCTAGAAACTGCCCAGTGCTGAACACGGTGGACACATTTCTCATTCCACATCATGTTATCCTCCAGTACACTCAAACCAGAAGTTTACACTTGAGAATTTTTTCAGTCATAACCTCACTGAAGTCACACGTTATTTGCTTTTATGTCAATTTCTAAGCAGGCCTGCTACCTGAGAGTCAATGACTCATTTATGCTGTCTGTAGGACACCAAAGTCTATCTAATGAGGGTATTTGAATGGGGAAGAAAAACCAGATCAAGTGTATATCACATAAATGCTGTAACCGTTGGCTCACTTTTGTATACCGGTGTTAGGTTGCCTTGGGTACAAATTGTTCCTCACAAAACCTGAGATTATTATTTAGGACCTAGTAGTGTGCTCTAGGTATTTGCAGGTTGCTAGTTTGAAGACTTTCTTATTTTCCTAGCAGACAAAGTTAAACTTAGTGTAATTTTGCTACAGAATTATAGTTAAGGCAGTTAAGAGCTCAGTTTGTGGGGCCAGGCAGCCAGGATTTGAATCCCATAAACCAAGTACAGGCTCAGTGATTGTGTGCAATAACTTCTAGTGTATGAGCCTTCATTTCCTCTGTAAAGTGGAAAAAAAATGACCCTTTACATGGTTACTGAGAAGATTAAATAGTACATGTGAAATGCGTGGTACAATGCTTAGCTCATAAGTGTTCAGTGTTAGTTACTATTTTGATTATTAACATTGTTGTGTTTTCTATTTTTAATGGTTTTATCATCCTGAAGCCAGGGACTCTAAAGGAAAAATATGGTTTCATAATGAAATCTTCTTAACTCATTAGTGAGGTGTTGCAGTCTGTAGTGATGCAAGATTTGTTTGATGCTATAATAAATTAGGCCAGAGTTAATGCCATTTTATCCTAATAGACCTTGAATAGCTTATCCCAGTGCCTGCCTGACATTTTGCTAATCAAGTTTTCCTTTCAGTGCTACTTAATTCTTGGATAGTGGAACACTTGTCATCATGAGGATTTTTATGACCCAAGTAGGAGCTGGTTGATTCTAAATTAAAGCTATTGGGTCCTACACCACTTATTTATTCTGGGTGTGGTGACTGAGCTGAAAAGTACAGGCAAGGGGACTCAGGGTTTCTCATTTGTGAGAAATACATATGAAATTTCTCTGTGAGAAAGTCAAAATATTTTTCTAACTTCTCACTCCGTGCTTCCACATGGGATTGGAAAAATCAAGCTGTTTTATGCTTTATTGATGATAATACTAATGACATAAACCAAATTTGGCCAACTCAGCTACTGATTAGCAAAAATGGCCCATCTTCTGCAAAATGTTATGTACACAATTAAAAATTCAACTGAAAGAGTCTTATTTCAGTTAAGTTCATACAGGATTTTTTTTTTAAGCTAGTTTTTATGGGTCTCTCTTAGTAGAACTGAATTTACTGTTTTATAGGGCTTCTTTGTGGTTGGGTTTGTAGATTCCATTTAAAAAAAATATTCCATGTCTCTAGACAAAATAAACAAATGCCTGAACTGTACTTTTTAAAATCCCTACTTGTTCTCAAGGATTACTATTGTTTAAGACATAATGCTTCTCTCAGAGTTTTTAAGTCTAGTTTTGGTAATTAGACTAAGTTCCTTAGTTTTAGGGGGAATTTTTGTGGAATGCAGACAATATCCTAAAGTAGAGCATTCCTATGAAACCGTTGGTAAGCCGAAATGGTGTAAAGCGAAGAAGCCGTTACCATTAATTTATATGGAAAAATTTGGTTCCCAGACCCCAAATCCACTGCACACACACTGTCTTTATTTTATTCACCACCACGAAACCGCTTAATTACATCTAGTTTTACACTAAACGTACTCCCTTACGGGCTCCCTTAGGCTTTTCTGATATCTTTAGGACACATCTTGCTAACAGATGCACAAAATAAATCGAGATAAAGCACGGATGTTCACAGGCACAGTTCAAAGCTCTGGCAGCTTGATGCTGAGTGTTTCTTTCGCTGCAAAACAAACCTGAGTGCTATTTTCACTTCACCTTTTTTCCTAAAAGCAAAAGTCCCCTTCAGATTTCTTTTGGTTAAAATGAGTACTAATGTAGGTCTTTCATAAAAGGGGCAAAACAACTCTTCAAAGCGGGGGACACCTGTACTAATAACCCAAGTGAAAGACTCTTAACATAAGTGACCAGTTAACAAATACCAGCTTATATTCACAGATAATACTTTAGAAAAGTAGAGGATACATTTGAATTTATTACTTATTTTTCTGTTACAAGCATTAGCCAGAAATAGTTCTTCATATAAATTTTTATTGTTTATGTTCAGTGTTTGTTTTTTCAGACATTGGGATTTCTGTATGATTTATATTTTTAATATACACATAGAACATTTTATATTAGACTAAATTAGTGGAAAAAATTTATTTTTCTTCATTAATTGCCTGGTGTTGACCAGAGTGCAGTTATATAGACTGCTGATGTAGACCCTG